GTGGTTCCTTCTCTGTTAAAAGTGTAGTCTCTGAGGGAGACGCGCGCGCTGTTCACGCCCACGCTCACGCGAAAGGTGCAGGTTCTTGAATCGGGAGTGGAGTATGTGACGCTTTGTTCTTTCCCGCTTTCGTTCTTTGATACTTCAACTCTCGATATGTTGTTGCTGCTAACTGTGCTGCCCATACTCTGTTTCTCGTTTCGTTTTTGTTTGTTTCTTTGCCCTGAGTTTTGTGTGTTATAATTAAGTACTTATTCTTAATTAGCTTTGAACTGAAGCATACTCGTTCTTTTTGTCATACATAATTTAGAGCATTTTTCCCCAATTAGATTCCAATATTGTAGTAGGTTTTCCTTTTTTATTAGTTTTGTTATTATTATTTGTATGATTCTACTTCAACATCAAATTCACGATGAGGCACCAGTTGGCCAAGATCCCTCGAACATTTTTCTCTGTTAGATCACTTTTTCTATATTATCTTTACATTCTTTATAAAATGTCCAATTATCTCACACACGAGGAACAAACTTTTAATAATTTTTCAGCTTATTTTAATATTTTTTTATATATTTTATGAAAATATTTTTTTAAAATTATATTAATAATTTTTACCGTCTGACTTACAACAAACTCTTTAAATAATAAAAGTTTATTAAATAAACAATTAATTAAATTATTCTTCAAATGCATCTTTAAAAGAAGTGATATAAAATAAGTAAAATTCTTTTTATATTCACATTGAACCCACAACCACGAACACTATTAAAAGGGAAAAGGTAAACAGAAATCTAGACAACTCCTCTCCTTTTTTACCAAATTAAAAGGTTTGAAAGGAGAAATTAATATATGCAATCATGAAACCTTTCTGTATAATGTTACAAGGGCATGTAACTCTCAAAAAGAAATAGCTACGCTTCCAACGTAGAAATGTTACATGATCACAACACTTGAATCCACCTTCAAAATATAAAACACATTAAATACTTTCTTTATTTAGTAATTAGGAGAATTTATAAAAAAAAAAAGATTAAATGATTATTTACTAATATATAAAAATTATGAGGTGACCGAATAATATTTATTAGTATAGTCTTTGTCTAAAAATAAATAAATCGTTGGTATAAACTTTAAATATTTATATTAGCAAATCATATTTTTCTGAAAGAAAGACAAACACTTCTTCCTTAATTGGAGAACAATTCATTTTAGTGTATATTGCCGGATTAGGTACATTAACTTTAGCGAAAGGTTGGACGCTTATGTCAAGCTTGATAATTCTAAGTGCCCTTGCTTTTATCATAAGAATGATCATTGCTCTTTCGAAAACATGTGACTTCTTGCAATATTTCATTTTTGTATTGTGCTAAATTTGGACAAATGTTGAATTTGAGAAAATTGATAATGAAGGAAATATATATATATATATATATATATATATATATCATAAATTGTAAAATTTTAACGTAGGACACAATATCAGTAAATTTATTTTAAATTATCTATATTTTATTTTTATTTTTTTTATTTTTCATCTAATTTATCAAGTTACGCACCTAAATATAGTAAGTGGGTGTATTACTAGAGATTTTTTTGCATACTATAAAAGTGTATAAAAAATATCATTAAAAAAATTACTCTTAAAATTACTTCTACTGAAATTACAACTTTAAAATTTGAAATTTTTTTTAGTAAAAATAACTACTCTTACACAAAATAAGTGTGCACAAACTATGGATTAGGATTTAATTGGAATTAGTTTTTTTATAAATACAAAAAAGAAAAAAAGGATAAAATAAATAATTTTTTTATAAATTTAAATTAACTTGTATGTCTTATATATTAAAAAATATTTTTAAAAATATAAAAATATAATTTATTTTATTTTATTTATTTTTAATAAATATTTCTGTTAAAGTGTGTTTTATTTGGCCTGATCAAAATTCAATAATATATAAAATAAGGTATGGTTAATTCACTTATTGAAAGAATATACTTATTTCAATATTATACATATACATATATAGTTAAATCATAAAAATAGTAAAAGTATAAAATTAAAATTATGATATATTTTATTATATATTTTTTAAAATAAATAATATATTATTTATTTATTTAAAAAAGAAGCTAAAATTTAAAAAGAATAGAATATATTGGACCAAATTAGGATAACCCAAAATATAACTTGAACTCACTCTAATTATATCAAATTTAATTTTTAAAAGTTTAACTCATCAAAATTAGCTTCTAGCTAGATCGGATTTGTAGAGAGTTAAAATCTCTGAACCCAACTAGTGCTGCACACAATCCAATGTTTCGAATTTCTATTTATGTAGCGTTGCCACCGTTGAGTCAAAACTCAAAATCATGTTAATGTAATTAATTATTTTTAAAATATTACATTATTTGAATCATTCAAAATTATTAAGTGACATTAAATATTATTATTTTAAAAAATTTGATAATTTCAACCTTAAAATTGTGTTTAAACATTTAAAAGTAATAATTTTTTACTAAAAAAATATTTATCATATTAAAATTATATAAGTATAATAATTCACTTAATTTTAAAAATTAAGTTAACATTCTTTTATTTTAATGTATAGTTTATATATCAGGTATATATACTCCCTAAAAATGCATACATTCTCCTTTAAAAAAAGATATATTTAACTTTTTAAGTGTGATATTTTTATGATTAAATATTTTTTTTTGAAATTATAGTTAGGATGAAACAAAATAAGTTATTTGATATTACAAGAAATACATCATTTAACATTAGTTTATTAACAACAGTTAGTAATAAATGTCAACAAAATATTTAGAAAAAATATTTAACATCAGTTTTAGTAATTGCGATAAAAAATGTAAAATTTAGTTGCAATTTTATGTAAATACCACAAAAAATGTGAAATTTAGTGTTGGTTTTATGTAATCACCACAAAATATGCGGATTTAACATTAGTTTAAGATAACGGAATATAAAAAACACCACTCCACTTACCTATTCTCCATCACGTTACAATTTACCTCTACTTTGACCTCATTGAATTCCACCACTATCCTCCTCTCTATCACTGCTACTACGGTGAAAGTGTCTTCTTCAACCATAACAACTTTGATAATCTTTTACTATCTTTTCACTTCCTTCAAATATAACTCTTAGAAATGAGTAGAAGATAAAAACCGAAAAAAAAATATGAAAGCTAAACTTTAATACAGATCATTATTTTTTATCATACGATCTAGTATTTAAATTTTAAATTTTAGCGACAATTCAAAATTGTTATCAAATAACTGCCACAAATTTAAAAATTTAGCAGTGATTTAAAATTACCATAAATTTAACTCTATATTATCAATTTTAACGTTAATTTCATAATTGTCAAAATAAAATTTAAAAATAATTAAAACCTTCATAAATCATAAAATTTAACTGTTGCAAATGAATAATTTTTTTGTAATGCAATTTGAGAGGGATATATGACTTAAAAGAAAAAAATTGTTGGCCAGAGTCTTTTACTATTATTTGATATGTTTTATATGTATAACTCTAATTTATATATTTTTTATTATATATTTAGTAATTTATTTATTTAAATTAAATATATAATTTTAAAAGAATAAATAAAATCCATGATTTTATTATAAATATTAATGTATTGAATAATTTTTTATAACTTACTTAGATATATGTATTGTTGTCTATATATATATATATTTATTTATTTATAAAAAAATTAATAATTTATTAAAAATTTTAATACAAAATGAATCAATAAAAAATTAATAAATCAAATCAAACTTTGAAAAAAAATAAGCTAAACTTAATAAAAACGTGACGATAAATAATAAACTCATGTCAAACTTCAAAATTATCAATTAAGCTACACTTAATTATGTACAGTCTAACATTCATTATTGACCGTATCATACTATTTTACCATATTGCCCCTACATTGTCGCTTTCCAACTCTAATTTTCACCTGAGATTGAGGAGAGAGAGCTTCAAGGGATTGTGGTTTCGGGCTTGCTCGATGAGCGCACTTTGGACGCGAGAGGTATAATCAAGGCTTCCAAGCGAACAACGTCTCAAGAATACTACTTAAATTGTTATTTTAAATAAATAAATATATTTAAAATTAATATTTTTTAAAGTAAAAAATATTAATTAAATATATTAACATAATTTAAATATATTATTTATAAATGATGTATAATTCTTTTAATTTAAAATTAAAAAATATGTTATCTCTTAAAACTCTCTTTTAAACATATATTTAGGCTTTATTTGAGAGTAAAGGAGAGAAAAAAAAAAAGAAGAAGAAGCTTGTGTGATAATAATCATTATTTAGAAGTTTTCAATTGAGAAGAAAACATTTTATAAGCCTTCATAAAATCCATTTAATTCCAACAACATTAGTACTATTTTGCACATCAAATGTTACGGCATATATGCTTTTGGCTTTTCTATGTGAAACAGTAGAGATTCTTGTAAAAGAAACATCATATTAATTAAGATCACAATTATTTTTTAAAAGAAATAATTTTATTCAAATTAAATAAAACTATTATAATTTGAGATTACAAATTAAATTGAAAAAACTTTATATCAATTGATTTACATATTCAATGGTTTATTGACTTAAAATTTTGTTTAACATCAAGTTTTTAATAATATTACAATAGTTCATTCTTTAATTTACAATTTTGTTAACATCAATTCTCAAAATTGCCTTTAAACACAGTATTTTTTACTGTAAAATAAATTAATACAAAAACTATTTTTTTCTAATAAAATTTTTTTATGCTTAAACTAAACTTTGTAAGGCTGAACTTATCAAAACCATTTAACTTGTTATATAATGTTAAAAAAAAAAATCATTTATCACCGATTTTTGAACCAGTACCTTAAAATTACTATTCCGGTTTTAAAAACATTTAAACAAGAAAGACAAGTGTAGCTTCATGAGAGAAATGAAACCAAAACAGCAGAGGGGAAAAAAGTGAAGGGGGAAAATCAACCTTGACATTGTAAGCAACTTAAAATGTATCTGAAGTGGAGATGCATGATCTGAATGTATTATTCTTTGCAAGAGTCCCACAGAAGTTATTCAAAACTCTCAATTGAGTAAAGTAAATAAATTATGTGCGGCCATAACGTACAGAAATACGCTTATGGATGGGGCTTCTGCAAGAGGGACAATCTTGCATACCTTGTTTCTCATGGAGCTCATTGCATGTTGTGCAAACAACTTGATGAGCACAAGGGAGGAATACAACAGACATCTCCTCAGAAAGGCACATCACACATTCCCTTTCTCGTTTCACACCTCCTGTTAAAGTATAGTCATTTAAATTTGTAACCAGTTCTGAGATAAAACTCGCCCTGGATTCTTCTGGGGTGGCGCCAATTTTCGTGTCCATACAGCTGCTGGCGTAGCTTCCATCAATGCCCCTTCTCAGTGCAGCAATTTTGGAAGAGTCGGTCTTCTGTCTCAGTATTGCAATTTCTTTTTCAAGTTTCTGGATGTCATCTCTGTACCTATGCAGATTCTCTTCTGCTTTTGATTTGATCATATTTTCCTTCGATTTTGTTGACTCCTCGATTTGTTCCCTTGCTTTTCTTATAGAATTTGCCTCTAGGAGGAGTTCTTCTTTTGCCTTTGCTACCTGCTGCCATCTAGCCTGTGATATTTTTCTTTATGATGAGAACAGACGCAGTAACATAACTCATTTGGCATTTAAACAGTGAAAATGATGGCATCTTCAGAATCATGCGAGTGGTGCATCTGCGGAATCATGCAAGTGATGCATGTGTACCACACTGTACTCTCATGTTTCACTCTCCAGTAAGATCACATTCACATTTTTGTGATTCTAGTATCAATACTTTGATTAAAGGACAAGTCTTGCAGCCACAAGATGAATAGAACCTTCAAAATCAAATGAATCAAACAGGTGCATCGGGACATAAAAAAGATGATAGATCATTCTATTCATTAATTTCTTGGTGGAGGGAAGGTAGTTCCAGACTTTTTAGAAGGGAAAAAGATGATATTAGCTTGTTAGTTGGGGAATCATTTTGATTCATTTAACATGGAAATAATCCCAACTGTTAAACCATGCATATAAATGAATAACAAATGCATGTCAGTGCATGTCAATCCAAATTTATTTCATTTAATGTTTAGCATTAGATGAGTTGGGGTAGTTTTGAAATTTCAGATAAATGCTCCCTAAGTATAACTTCTAACTTTTTTGGGGATAAAAGCAATTATATTGAAGAAAACACGAGATCAACTACAGCCAGAGCCATATATCTTAGTATAGATATCAGGTGACATTTACATGATAGAAAGCACATGGAAAGACAGTTGGAATGAGCAGGAAATAGTATACCTCAACTTGCTCCTGTTGCATTTTAGCTAGCTCTAACTCCTGCTTCAGCTGAGCCAATTTATGTTTTTCAGTCATTAGCTCTTCCTGAAACAAGGATTTCTGCTTCTCCCATGATTGAAACTTCATTTGGGTCTTCTTTTCCCTCCTTGAGACCTCTTGACAACTTGTGGCTGATTCTGCAGCACGTAACTTAGCAGCCTCCATCTCTTTTCTGAGTGCAGCATTCTCCACCTCAAGCTTCCGGACAGCAGCATTAGCTTGTTCTAGCTGTCCACTTGCTTTAGACAAGGCATTTTCCATCTCAGAAAGCTTCTTCATGGTATTTTCCTCCAGAGATTGCTTCTCTTTTTTAAGACGCTCGACTTCATCTTTCTCTTGCCTTAGTGTCTTAAGCTCAGCCTTATCCTTACTCAGCCGACGAGCAGCCTGCATAACCTTCTGATTTGCCCACTCTGTCCATTCTTGGAGCTGATTTCGCAGCTCCCGAACCCTTGGGACCAACTTCAAAATCATCTCATCCTTTCTATCCTGGGGTATCCATTGCCCAAGGGACTTGTCATACGGTATTGCCACACAACTAGTATTAGGTGCTTCATTATTGCAGCAGATAGATGTTGTAGAAAACTTACTTTTTGAAGATAAAGAAAGAGAAAGATCAGTGTCTGTAGCTGATAATGCATTTGGACTATCAACTGCTGGTACAACATTTGCTTCATGTACTGAAGATGAAGCATCGGTTGATTGGGAAACAGTATCAGTAGAATCTAGGCTAAATGCAGTTGGGGTGGATGGTCCATCATTAGATGAGAAATCAGTAAGATTTTCTTGTATCACATCAACTCCCATTGCTTTGCTTATGTTTAAGGATGCACTCTTTAAGTTTATGGTAGTAGAGTCAGATACAGATTTAAGTTTTTTATCCAAGATTAAACCACTCAAGCCATTCAGCTTTCCTCCTCTCGATGACCCTTTAGATCCATATGTCCGATAACCTTTTTCTACATGGAAGGACTTCTGTCGAAGAATGTAGTCCCTCTTAGTGCTACTGGAATGGACCTTTCTAACACTCCCACACTTTTCTTCCACTGAGGGAGAAGGAGATGTTCCAGCAGTACTAGATGATTTATCTATAGAATCACATCCAGAATTGGCACTGGCACTGTCTTTCTCTGAGAGTTCACCAAGAATTTGAGAATTCTTTGAGTTGTCCAAACCAGAATTTCCTGTGACAAAGGATTTCTCAGATTGAGAACCGGAGGGGACAGATTTAGAAGGACTTGGAAGACTCAATTCACGACCTTTTGTTTCTAATTTTGATTGTGATTCAGTCTGGACAGAAGAACAGCTGTCAGCAATGCCATCACTACCTAAACTACATAAAGGGTCACCGTCCATTGCACAAGCATGTGAAACGTTCATGTCACAAATTAACAAACACCACATTGCATCCCCAGTACTGAAGAATGGCCTAACCTCTCGAAGAACACAAACCAATTCAGCTAAGACATACTTCTCTAGCTGTACTAAATCATCAAAATAGTGCTCTCGCGAAGGATCAATCTCTTGGCCATTTCTAAGAAATGCTAAGGCATTATCAACTATATTAGACACAGTATCTTTACATCCATAACAGATGCCTGACCTTAAGATGGCCTTTGTAGCAACGTCTTCAGTGTAGCCACATGCCACAATTTTTTTTATTGCACTCTTGAAGATGGTGTCCAAATTGGTCAGGACAAGTTCTTCCAATTGTGCTTCTGTGAGATCACTCCAATCAGCATCATGGAATTCATCCACCTCGAGTTCCTCCTTAGTTTGGCTCAGCCTGACCTCAGATGAAACTACAGGACTAGACAATCCAAGGTCAAGCTTCAACCCATCAGAATGATCTTGGCTACTACACAAGTCAGAAGCAGTTGATTGCCCATGACCTGGGGATATTTCAAATTTTTCAGCAGAGAATTCATAACTTAGGTTTTCATGTTGAGGTGAAGGAATAATCTTATTTGGCTCCCCTAATGGTGGATCAGCCCTGAATTTTCTCTTATTCCTACTTCCTTTTTCTTGGACAGAAACCGAAGGAGCCATTTGACTACTACCACTAGCAACCAATGATGCCATTCAGCTGCAAACCACAATCAATAAAAAGGAAAAGATAAAATCTATGAATACACTCGCCAAGTTTTATGAATTTATCCAGCATCCATTCACAACCATCCAAAATTTATCAATTCCAAAAACAAGTTCTATTAGACAATAATGTGAAAATTAAAATTGATCAGGAAAAATCAGAATGAACTTTATAATATTATAAACCAAGATAAAAGAAAATAAGTAAAATCTAACACTGAATTATGAAGCATTGCATGAATTCAAAAACTGAAAATCCATTACCTCTAAATCTCAGTATTGCAGCCTAGAATATATAACTTCCTGAAATGTTTGGATAGAGAAGTACCAATCAATAAATAATAATTAAAAAAAAAAAAAAAGTAACCTACCCATAAACATGTACCCAGTTGAAAAAGAGAGAAAATTGAAAGTACCCAGATGAATTCAAAGACATATGAATACTCCAGACTCAACCACAGATCAGAAAAGTGATCGAAGAAAATTGTGTTTTGAATATTATAGCATAGGCAGCGAGTGATACAGAGAAGATCCCCAATAGAGGTGGAAGAAAACCAGAGTTATAATCAGTATTAGACGATTGAGACATACCCGATTGAAGAAAATAGTCGGAAATCAAAGGAAAGATCGATCTTAGAACATCGGAGAATCAGAAAGAAAATCGACAACTTTCTCTGTTTTTTTTTTTTTTTCTCTCCTTATATTTTATTTGTGCTGAGGCTGCAAGAGCTTTGGGAGGCTTTTAAGCATGGCACGTCCTTCTCTCTGTATAGTAACTAGGTTAGCACCATAAGCTATACAAGATATTAACACAAAATAATAATAATAATAATAATAATAATATAACACAAAATAGTAATAATAATAATAATAATAATAATAATTATTATTATTATTATTATTATTATTATTATTATTATTATCTAAATGGTGATCATAATAACAACAGTAAGAATTAATTTCGTAGAAAAATTGTTACTGGAAGATACCGTCATCTCTTGTGGAATTATTATTCGTGTGGAAATTAATCGTCTCCAAAGTTTCTTTAATGGGGATGCTATTAATGTGTCAAAGAAATATTACATATGTTTATTTGTATACCATAAATTTGACTCTTTGTCTTTCATAAAAGTATTATTAAAATTTATACTTTTTTTAAGTTACGTAATATTTTTATTAAGTATTTCATTTTTCTTATTTTGTGAACACTATTTTTTATTATTAATTTTAAATTTTGATATACTATATCAAATTAAATACATTTATTTATTTGGACATACTAAATTATAAAAAAATATATAATTTTTATTAATTTCAATTTCAATTTAACTCTTGAAGTTTAAATTTTGATATATCAAACTAATAAAGATGATGTGTCTTAATTTTAATAAATTGTTTTTAATTTACTATTATTCAGTATTAAAAACACATAAAATCAACATTAAAATAATTATCATTTTTTTTCAAATGTTTTATTTTAGTTACAAATATTCATACAACGCATAAATAATTTAATAATTATTCTTAATTTTTTATTATGATTTATTGCAAAGGTTTTTCTTTATATTCATTTGGCTTATTTCCAATTTAAATATCTTATTAGGATATATTTATAACAATCGTTAGATAAATAATAAAAAATTAAAAAGTACAATTAATATACAGTTTGATCTCTAAAAGTGATAATGTATATTATTTAAATGTAAATACACGTTTATAAAAAAAAAATTATTACTTCGTTCATGCTGTTAAATTAACATAATAAATTTTAGCATTCAAAGAATAAGTTTTTCTACGCACAAACTTTTTCAACTAAAATACAATTTGTCATTTATAGAGATTAAATTATATAATAATTTTAGAAAGCGTTAATTAAGACAATATTTTAAGTGAATTTTATGGTGGTGAACGATTAGTAATAAACTACAGGTTTAGATTGTGCACGAGTGCTTTTAAAAAATAGATAGCATAATTAGTTTATATATTCAAACCATGATAGTGGAAATATATTAATATTTTTTGTTCAAATGAAAAAAAAAACAAAACTTATTTTAGTTTTGACCGTGACGAGGGTCAAGTCAAAGGAAGTTTTTATATCTAACAATGCGTCATTGTGATTTTTATTAATACATTGAATTGACTCACACTACCACACACAATATACTATTTATTTTTATGCTTCCATTTGATCGCTTCATTTCAAAAGTCTTCCATTACCATTAAGCCATAGGTCTTCCATGACTATTAGCCACTAGTGTGAGGCAAATAAATAATAATAGATCCTTTGCGAGGCAATTTAGTTAAAATTTCTAATACCATTAGTGTGATATCAAAAATAGGATATACTGTATAATTTTTTTTTATATTATGGTATCTATATGAGTTGTAAACCTGTAGTACATGTTATTTTAATAAATTGTTATCAATTTATACTTATGTAAAAATTTACACTATATGTCCCTTGAGTATGTGTGAAATTCAATATAAAAAAATGATAAAAAATTGTAAGTGTGTAATTTGTAGTAGAATAAATATTTTAATTTTAGCAGAATAATTAATATATTTTTTAATAATAATATATTACATATTAATAAAATATTTAATTTTATTAAGTATTGTTTTTATAAGTAGTTTGTAACAGTACTGTGAGAGATCAATTATATATGAATTAGATTAATAATTTTTTTTATATGTATCGTTAATCGTTGTAAACGAATTGAAATACTATTTGTACTTAAATTTGTTTTTAATAAAATATTAATATTAATTTTTTAAAAAAAGATAAATATTAAAAAAGAAAAGTAAAAACATCTTGTCACGCTAAACAATAGATATTTACTCATATTATTTCAAGAAACCGAATGATAATATAGAATGATAATATGTATTTTTTTTTTTAAGAAACCGAAAAAGAAAAGTAAAGGATATGATCCAAAAAATATTCTTTGATTCCTTCTTCCGCAAAGTTTTGTCATTTTTGCTTTAACTTATTCTCTTCCGTGGACATATTGTTCACATTTTTCGTATTTATGATATGTTACAAAGTAGAAAATTTTATTGGGCTATTTTGTGATGTTTCTTTGATAGGTGTTCACAACAATAATATATTTTATCAATTTATATTATTACTAATGATCAATGTTAAGAAACATGACAAAAGCCAGAGAACGCAGAAATTGATATAATCAGTAGAAAGGGAAGTGAGAATTTTACAGGAATAGATAATTTTTTTAGTCGGCTATGAGGCTATCTATTGAGCTTTCTAGTTGTTCCTCGTGGTACCACTATGATGTAGAGACTGACACTTCCACCCACCAAAATGAATAATTTTGGAGCGTAATTCAATTGAAAGTGATTGAGATTGAACTTGGAAAAATTGGAAGTTCAGTTACCAATAGCTGTAAAAGTAATCAAGAGAATTGATATATAAATAAAAAAAAAACTTTATTATTTATGGCCATATTATGAAGGATTTGAACTATATATAAATATAAAATATTGGGTAAGGATTAAACTTCTTAAAGGGCACAAATCCTCTAAGGAGTGATGTAATTTATGTTGACAAAATTATAATAATTATTTTTGGTCAATGACAAAACTATAATTAAAAAAGAGAGAAATAGCGTGGAAGCAGCAGCGAAACATTTGTAAAGATTAAAGGACAATATCAGAAGAATTCATTGAATTTGGGAGAAAAATGGATTGAATGCTCTAATACATGAATTAAAAATATATTTAACTATTAATTGATTAACAAGGCGTGCTTGCTTATCTGAATGAATAACTAATAATGGTATTTTTCAAAAAAGTAAAAACAAAATTGAGAACAACTGATATAAAATACCTAAGTATTATGCTGGTTAACAAATTTAGATTGCTCACTTAAGGTACATTAGTCTCACTTGAGATACATTTTTATATATATTTTTAAAATATTTATCCATGCATATATACAAAATTCATCAATGAATAATTATTTTCTTACTTTATAAATTTAATTTATAAATAATTATTTTTTTATCAATTTTAAAATAATTTTAAATAAATATGTGCTAACTCACTTTAAAGGAATTCAATATATTATAAAATACTAAAATAGGTTTTAAAATACCTCACTTGTTTTCCGTTGATGATCTATTTCTAGTTGTTAAAGCTTTATTTCAATTGCACTTTATCCAATACAAAAATAATAATAATAAAACTAAATCCTTCGTATATTTCTTTAATATCATTGGTTATTTAAATCATGAAATTGGTGTGAAATGATTTAATAATCTGAAATCTAAATCAAGGGTTCCTATTTATTCTAGCAATAATAAGAAAAAAGTATATTATGACTTTTTAAGATGAAATTAGAAAAATATTGTCTAATTAAAAAATAATTTTTTAATATAATTATTCTTGTCCAAACCCATATCATGAATATACCTAATTATATCATGCAGACTGGCATAATTCATGTGAGCATTTGAGACGAAATAAATATATTACATAGAAAAAATAAAGAAAATGTCACCCAGGAATAAATCTGTATTCTTAAATTTAAAGGAAAATTAGGGTTTAGAGATATTTACCAAGTTAATAGAACTTACAGGATGAAAATTCTTAAACTGCGTAGATTCTCAAAGCTAAGTATAAGAACCATCTAAATAATATAGATGGAGGATAAAATAGGATACATATTTGCTAAATAACTTGGAAAGGTATTTCTAAACTCTAGGCTAATCTGTATGAGTGAGGATGGTTTAACTGTTAGATTTTGAAAAGATCATTGATTTCCTAATCTTAAACGACATATTAAATCAATCGTACCTTAAAGTCAATCTTTCCATTACCTTTTATGCCTCTAATAAGAAATGGAACTAGGATACGACAAAACTGTACGTTCCTCAAAACATGTGACATAATAGCTCATATCCTTCCTCGTAAGTTAAGTGTAGGAGTTGATTCCTTTGGTTGTCCCCAGTGTATAATGGTCAATATGCCTTCAAGTCTGCTTATAATATGATAACTAAGCTGAATGAAGTTAGTAGTATTGATAACCCCATTTATAAGAAAACTTGTTCCTAACCTACCTGACCCAAAAAAATTTAGAACTTTTACATGAAAGGTTGTTAATGGTAAATTAATGACAAATGAAGAAAGATAGAAATTTTTTTTTTCTTCAAATGTTTGCCTTTCTGTAATCTGTCCAATGAATCTATAACACGTGTTAAGAAATTGCCTTCTTGCTACTGAGTTATGAAAATCTGTTATTTATGGTACAATTTGGACTTCTTTCATTAGTTTAAGTGTTGGTAATTAGTAGTTGTTAAGCAACTATTTTAGTGGGGATAAATGTAGAGCCGGGGAAAATTTTTAGTTTTATAAACCCGATCAATAACTAATATTAAACTGGTTTAAAAAATTTATATCCACATTAAATTAATTTTTTGATTAATTATATTTATCTAATTAGTTTAGTGTTCTAAATTTATTTTTTAAAATAAGATTTTTTTATTTATTCAAACTATGTGTATAAATGTACTATTTTATATTTTTATTTATTAAATTTTATGCTATATCAATTCACAAAAATTTATTCTAACTATATTTTACAATTAATTTTTTTATTAATTTTATTTCTTATAATTATAATTAAATATTTAAATTAATATTTTTAAAATATAATATTTTAAATAAACTATAATTATTATATTAAAGATATTAAAATACAATAAATGTTTTTAAATTAATTATTACTACTTTTTTTATATTTATGTTTATTTTTAATTTATAAAATATTATAATATAATAAATTTATTATTTATGTTATTAATTTTTATTTTTATATATTTTAATTTAAATTTTTATCATCAACTCTATTTATTAAAACAAGTTAAAAATAATAATAAATATTTTATAAACTTCTATAAAATATAATATAATTAATAGATATTACTAAAATCTTTTTATATTTATTTAATGTAACTGTGCGTATAACAAATTAGTTTTACCTTAAAAATTAAATTCACTAATGTATTGAAAACTAATTTTACATTAAAATTTGATTTAAAATTAATTTAACGTAAAATTAAATTTCAAATTAGTTTTAACAAAAATTAAATTAAAAATTAATTTTAAATAAAATTTAAATTTTAAAACTATATTTAAACTGATTAAAAAATAAAATAAAATGTTTAAAATTTAATATGTATAATTAGTTTATGTAGTGAATAGATGATAAAAAGTAAAATATATGCATATATTTATTAGTTTAATATAATATAAATATAAGAAAAATTATATTATTAATAGATTAAAATATATGTAACTATAATTTTATTTTAGCTATTATAAAATTTAAATATTTTTTAATATAATAATTTAATAATAATATAAAAAAATTATAGTAATTTTTATAGTATATTTTAATTTTAAAAAATTAAAATAAATTAATTTAAAATCTAATTTATATAATTAGATTTTAAATGAATCTAAATTAGTTGTTTAGAAATTCAATCCATACACATACTCTAAATAAATGGCTGGAATATCAAATTAGTTATTAGTGAAATGATAGAAATCATCTTACCTTTAATAATAAATGTGAAAATGATAAAATGTTGTCCATTCGTATCTTGAGCTTGGCTAAGCACATTATGTTTACTTTTCATGTTGGGACTGATTCACATGATCCCTAAAAAGTGTGTTTACTGGGTAGTCTTCTCCTCACAATTTTTTATGTTTAAATATGATAAATTTAAAAAGAAATTATTAAAGTATAATTTTTTTAAAAATATTTTCCCTATTTAAGGTAAATTTTGTTAGTTACATGCTGATACTTATTTTTTAATAATAAAAAAATTAAATATCATTCTTATTTTCTAATTATCACTTGCCGAAAATTGTTTTTTAGGAAGCTTTTAGTCATGAGTTTCTATCTCTCTATAGCCTCATTTCATGTTTTTTTCAAATTCTAAAATTATATTCTACCCCTTTTTTTCTTTGATAAGCTTTTGAATTCATGAACCTCAGTAATTTAATAGGAACTAACATTTATAGACAGTGAAATAGTACAAAACACCATATTTTTGAACTATAAAAAAGAAGTTATAAATAATGATAACCTCGTTTTATTTTAGTCTGATGTGATATTTTTGTATTTAGAAAAGTTCTTATATAATGCTTTATAATTATTATAAATTAATGTTTTTTATATATGTATTTACAGTATATATTTAATCAATTTTTGTTTTGATTATTTATAAGATTGTCACGACATAAGTGAAATGGTAGAAAAAAATAAATTAAAATAATTCTCATTATGTGGCAACTAAAACATCAAAATTGTATTTGATTATTTTTTCAATAATATAAAAAAGTGTAAATATGTGTTTATATTTTTTTTATTATTAAAAAAATAAATGTCAACTTTTATATGTTTACACTTATTTTTTTAATAACTTTTATAATGTCGACACTTATAGTGACATGACAAAATTTATTCTAAACATAAAAATATTTTGTAAAAACCTTATTTTAGTAATTTATTTTTAAATTTATCATATTTAGGAAAAAAAAAATCCTCTCCCTACCTTCTAAAGCTCAATGTTAATAAATCTATTAGTTTGAGCTTCAAAACGGAAGCTTGTGGTGGTCCGCTTAGTAAGTCTCAAAAAGAATTTTTTATAGAATTCATAAGCAATCTCAAATGGTTAAAGACTTAAAGTATAATCATATATTAGTAAAAATGGATTCTAAATTAGTCATTTAACTTATCTACTCTAACACGTAGAACTATCTCTGTCTATTTATTTCAATTTAGAACATTAGAGAGCTTATACATTTCAATAGGTTATATTTGTTTATAATGTATTTAGGAAAATAAAGAAATATACAATTTTTCTTGTAAATATTGCACATCCTGAAAATATGGTCATGAGACTTTCTTCCCCCTCTTAAGCTTTTACCTTTTATTTGCGAGAATACTTCTTGAATTGTCTTTCTTAAAATATTTAGTTAATTTTTTGGTTGAGCTTTTAACCCCATATTTATTAGAAAAAAAGTTATAAAATAAGCTCCTGTTTTATCCATAAAATTATAAACATAGATTTTTTAGACATTTTATCTTTAATTTTTATCTCTAACTTTACTAAATATCACCACTTTAATCTATTTTTGAAATAAAACAAATAACATTGTATAAAATCTACAATTATAATTAAAATTTTATAATATCAAACATTTCACAAATTTAGTACGATAACTTACTTTGCATTGCATTGTCGAAAATCTTGTACCCCAAACGAAATTTATTTCCTATAGCAATGAAGGATAAAGGCGCGAGCTCGCGGGAAAAAAAAATACTGAATTCATCATATCATGTAAAAAAATCATTAAAATATTTTATTTTTTAGAATTTTAATAATGAAAATAAATAATTATTTTTTTTAAGAATCAAAGTTTTTAGTTTTTTAAGCGACTATATTTATTGAAAACAAAAGGGAGCATGTAATTGATGGGTGATCTACAAACAAGTGACGTGTTGTCTTTAGTGATTTTTAAGTGAAACGACGTCTTTTTAGATTATTATTTCGTTGATGGTGTATTTAAAGAAGTGACATGGATGGAATGGACCCCAGTGTTGAGCATTTTTGTGGAGCAGTAACAGAACAATGGGCCACCCACCGGCGAAACGCAGCGAAGCCATGCTGTTGGCTCGGCCGCCGCCAAAACCCGTTCACCAGAATGATGCCGAGGAGGATGACGATAGCGTGAAGCAGCTCGGTGAATGCTCTTCTCTATATCTCTCGATGCAGGTCTACCTCGTTGCCTTTGTTACTTTTCCTTCTTAAACCCTAAATCCCTCAATTTTTGGAATAATCGAACTCGTCGATTAATAGATGAAGTTATTTCCCTTAATCTCCAGGATTGCGTTGTTCGATCAAACAGGAATTGGAAAGAATGCCAGCCAGGTATCCATTTTCACTCTCTCTCTCTCTCTCTGTTCCTTTGTGTGTGCGTGTTGTGTGTTTGATTTCTAAAATTTGAGTTGAATTTGTAAGAATGCATTGCTGGAATTCATATATTTGTTCTTCTTTTGTTTGGAATATAAATAAACTTTGAATATTATTTGGACGATTTTTTCTTTTATTGAATTCTAAATTTATTTTCTGGAGAAAATTTACATCACATGCCATGATTGTCTTTGAATTAACCATAGGCGTAGCAGTTTTGCACCAAAAGAAATAAAAGACCAATTTGAACTTTTTACAGAAGTAGAAGCTTTGAGGGAATGCTTTGAAAGGAGAAAGAAAAATAAAGGCAAGTAAGAAGTATACAGTGATGGAGTTTAGGTTATGCTTCCTAGTTTTGTGGTAGAACATTGATGTACTCACACTTTCACATACCCAAATAATATTTTTGCATCATAATTCGATTGAAAGTGATTGACATTGAACTTGGCAAGTGGAACGTTTATGTACACTGATCTTTAGATAAACAATGCTTCCGATTGGAAATACCAAAGATCAGTTTGTAGTTGAGTTATACAGATAGAATAATCACCTGCCTTGAGTGTTTTACTTCTTAGAATCATTTGCATTACGTATTTCTTGCTGTTTGATGACTGCGTGTTACATGAATGAAACCACTTTGCATTTTGACACTATAATGTTGATCTAGGTTAAGTTTGGATAAATTTTTATTGAGGTTTTTATAAAATAAAAAAATTAATATAAAAATGAATAAAATTTCTTTTATAAATAAAAAACAACTCATGCTTCTCTATTTTTTTAAAGTTTTCTCATTTTACTTTTTTAAAATTTGAAGATATAAGTTATTTTTAATTTATGAGATAAATTTTATTATTTTTAATATTGATTTTGTTATCCTGTAATGATTTCTTTGTAAATTTATCCAAAATTGGCCATAGTTTATTATGCTTATTTCGAATATGATCATGGGTGATGAAGTAATGGTACAAGTGAAACTATCCTTCGACTTTCTAGCATTGGGGTGATTTTGAAGGATTTGATAAAATAGCCTTATTATGATCATATTTTCAAGGATTTGACGAAAAACAAAAAATTCTTATACAAAGATCTGAAGTAGTAATACAGCAATATATATTGGGTAAGGATTATACTTCTTAACGGGCATAGATGCGCCTCTGATGCATGGTGTGAAAAGCCCTTGGTGGCAATGGTTCAATCATCGACTAAGATTCTCTAGAAGAAATATAATTTTTTATAACTAAGTACGTGTTTCAATCATCCACAAAGATTCTCTAGAAGATTTGTAATACTAAGTACATGATTGATTTAATTTAGTTTATTTTGAAGAAATAATTATTATTTTTATCTTTTTTTAAAATATTTATAATTTAATTGTTACCAAATACACCAAGTTATTTTACCAAAAAATTGTACTGAGTTATAATTAGAGAGAGAGAGAGAGATGTCATTACTTTTTTTTTTACTTTATAATGGTCAAGAAAACAAGTACTTCTTTTCTTTTATCTATCGACTTTTAAAAGAAAAATTTGTTTTTATTATATGTCCTTTTACAAGTTCAACACTAAGAATTTCTAGCTTTTTAATTATGTCCTTGTTTTTGCCCATTTTTGAACCCTGTACACGCTTAATATAAATGAGAAAAAGATAATAGTAGAAGTTATTGGAAGTTAAGGATAATTTATATATAAATAAATATATTAGTTCCATTCATTAATTGTGCTTTGTTCTCCTGAACAGATAAATAAAAAGAAATGGAAGGAGTGTAAAAATAATTAAAGAAAAAGTAAAATATTTATGGCATAACAAATTATTTAATACTTGTTAATAAATTATATTTTACTGACAAATGTCCTTTCAAAATTAAAAATGGGTTGAATTAAATGAATACTTTAATTTTCGTTTAATACACCTTTTAAAAATATTTTTAACCAATGCATTCAGCATATTTGTTAGCCAATTGTGTTGAAAAATAAAAAATAACTAATATTAAATACTTCGTGACTATTGCTTTTAAAGATACAAATTAGCAAAACCCTTGTTAATTTGAAATTGAAACATAATCAATTTATGTTTGAATGCAACATGACCTAAATCCAAATTATGACATAAACGCAACTTAGCAATGCACGGACACTACTCCAAATCCAATTATAGGTTAGGCTTCGATACTATATGTTTTTGTGGATATAATCAATACCATTTAAAAAATTCTATTTAGCCTACAAAAAAATTTGAATTGTGCTTTGTTGTAGGGCGCCTATGAATACCTCTGGGTTCACTACCTACCGTAACGCCATGCAGACCTATCAAATCACTACACTCAAACAGAAAGGCCATGCAAGAAAATGGTTATTGGTTTTAGTACAATATATGTTCAGTCATTCAAACTTAATCCGCAGCTGTCTTAAAACCATAATAGAAACACGACAATAATAATTCACTAGACACCTCCATTGAAATAAGGTTTCATGTTGAAGTAGTAGCATTTCCAGGAACAAATTTGACAGAAACACTATTGACACAATGGCGCTCATCAGTGGGGGTTTTGAATCCCTCTCCTTTGAAAACATGACCCAAGTGTCCACCACAGGCTGCACAAGTTATCTCAGTCCTCCTCCCATCTGGGTCCGGCTGAAAATCACAAGTTCCATAATTTCAACGCAAATTATTTTTCAACCAAAAACAAACATTGAAGATTAATTCTTTTCATTAAAACACTCACTGATCGGTTGATAGCACCCGGAAAACCCTCATAGAAAGCAGGCCAACCACAACCAGAATCAAATTTGGTAGAAGACTTGTAAAGAGGAGTTCCACAACCAGTGCAACTGTAAACTCCTTCTTCAAAGAACTTGTTATATTCGCCCGTACCCTTCAATCTACACATGTTCCCAGTGTTAAGAACAGTTACAATTCAACTCATGTAAACCAATTTCATGGCTTAAAGGAGGCTATTAAGAGCAATAGAGCATCCAACACAAGTGTTTATGAATGCAAATATGCACACTGTGCAACCCAAACATCTTATTCAAGGAATAATAAAAAATAAATTTTTGCACTTCCATTCAGCCCCCAGAAGCTCAAATCCCACCATCTTCTTGAGGAAAAAAAAAAGGAGAAAATTTAAGGTTCGAATTCCAATTGACAAAATAATACAGTAGAATCATATGAAGAAAAGATTGGGAATATACTCAGTTCCTTTCTGGCGAAGGATCCGAAACTGCTCCGGAGAGAGAATGACCTTCCATTCCTCCTCTGTTTTCTGAATCGGCGTTGGTGCTGCCATTGACTAACGCTTTCCGCTGATGCTCCACCCACACCCTAACACCTCCCAAAGCCCCTTATTATATAGTCCCCCATTGCAAACAAAGAAACAATACCAACGTTTACTCGGAAAATGAACTTGGACGGAAAATTGGGTCTCGACAGTGACAGTGGGCTTCATGAGAAATGGAGCCACGTGGCACTATTAATAATTAATTAACATTTTTTGTCTATGTTTAATAATTAATATTTGAATAATTTTGGTAAATTTATCACAATTGATAATTCATTTAAATATTTAAGAATCAAAATAAACTTTACACTAAATTTTAAAGGATAAACATATTAATTTTATTTATAAAATTACATTTAACTTATTGTAAGATAGCAAATAATATTTTTGTATTTTTTAACATTTTAAATAATTTATACTTGTATAAAATAACGTAATAACTTAGTTTTTAGTTATTTAATATATTTTAACTAATTTTATGACTAAGCAGAGTTTTAGATGAATTTAATGGTGTCTTTTGTTAATGATACACGTGATTTAGAAAAATGAATTCAATAGAAGAATAAGGAAAATGATAAATGCTTGTCAAATTTGAAAAAAAATGTAAGTGTTTGCATGATTTGAAAAATAAAAAATACTAATTAGTTGAAAGAAATTAAAGACTAAAATTACACATAATTTAAATTTAATAAAATAATTATATAATTAAGATATTTAATTCCTTTCAATTAGATTAATCATGTAATTAAATGCGATCTATATAACATCGACGATAATAATTGGACGGCGAGTTAATTGTATAGCACATTATTATAATATTTTTTAAAAGTACAATAAATTCGAAAAATAAATTAAAGAACTCAAAATTGTAGAAATGCTAAATTAAATGAATGAAAATTAGAATTAAGTTAGTGAAGAAGTTAATCAGAGCCAATAGTATTTTTCTTTAAAATTGCTCCTATTCAATATGTGATGAATACTTTTGAATTACGTTAAGGGCCTTTTGGTTGATAAAGATACGATAAAAAAATAATAACATTTAAAAGTTAAATTAAAATAACAGTTAAATGTATTATATTAATTATTTTAACTCGAACAACATAAAATTTGTATTAAAAAGTATAAAATAAAATTATCCAATCGAATATGGACTCATAACACCACAGAAAGTTGTTTTACCTTAATCTATAATCTAGTTACGAAAATATATGCATCGCCTACAAAAAGGTTTTAAAATTAAAATTGGAGTAAAAATTTAAAAACTGAATGAGTGCTGGAAGAAGAAAAGTAGCAGTGAAGAAAAAAGGTTTATAGATTTATTTTGTTTTGAATTGATTTGCAAGGAAGCAGTAGCAGAAGCACTCACAAGCGAGCCTCTCTATACTGTGAAGAATGGTTCGGTTCGGGTCGGTTCGGTTTGGTTTGGTTTTTGGCTGAAACCAATTCCACAAAGGATCAACAGTGTAAGAGTGCTTCAGCGCTACCCCAATCTTTCATTTCATTTGGAATTAATGCAATAGAAGAAGAATAAGAAGAACAAGAATGTCGTATAAGGGATTTGGGAAGGGTTCGGGACCCATCGCACCTCCCAAATCCCAACCCGCTTTCGGTCTGAACCCTCCCTCTTCTTACCTCCCAACCCTACCCGTTCCTTCGCCACAACCCAGACCTAGGTACGTTTTTTTTTTTAATCAATCTTTTCTATTCTGTGATGTGATGTCATCGCAAAGTGCCTTTGGAATTCAAACGATTTTCTATTTTGCAACTGTAACACTTACGATTAATATGTCAGTGTAATTTAAATTTGTTGAAGTGGATCAGTGGACATACGGGTGATGATAATTAACATTAGGATTTGAATAAACATATGAAGTGGATTAATGTAATTTTAATTGAATCTACGTAGTGGGATAAGGATTGGTTGGCTGTTGTTGCATTTCGTATGTGGTGCGGTTTTGTGCATGTAAATTTCCATGTATTTACTTCTGTTAGTGTGTTTAACATTGACAATATTGTTAGGGAGAAAATGAGTAATATTGACATGCTAGGATTTGGATAAAATCGCGACATTTTTATGTACCCTTTTGGTGACACCCATTGTATATTTTTCCTTTTTTGCTCCTCACTGAAAGGAAAGTTTTCCCCTCTGTTATGGCAAAATAAGGTGCATCTTTTGACTGCCATTTTATTTTTTGAGAATAACTTGTGTTTGTCCTTTGTTTAGAGAAGAGATTCTTTTCATGGTCATAGTTTACTTAAGAAATTCCTTCCATGACGCATTTTGAAAGTTCATATTTTCTTTCAGAATCACTGAATCTTCTACTTGGAGCGGCGGACAAAAACTGTTTTATAAAGATTTGGATGCACATACTCCCGAAAGGCCCACTTCAGCCACAACATATATTGCTCCACACGATTCCATGACTGGTGTTACAGCCAGAGTTTCTAGATTTCCGAACCCAGAGAGAACTAGATCTCCTATATCATATGCTGATGTTGATGCTTTGGAGAATTCTGATCAAATAGTTCTAAGAAATAAGTAAGATAATACTATCCATAAACTGTAGTACTTGCATCTTTCTTTAAATTTATTATGCATCAGCATCAAATTTTTCTTGTTTGGATTGGAATATCATATGTATAAAGCAGAAATATGTCAATCCAGTTTTATAGACTTAACTTCTTTTATATCATTACGTGGCTTTTAAATAATTTTATTGGTTGCCTTGTTTTGAATTTATCATGAAACAACTTTTTTCCACAAAAGATTCCTTATAGGTCTCAGGTTGTTGAGTTCAAGGTTATATTATATGTCAACATGGATAACTGAAATGAGCAACTGGAATGGATTGTCTAACCCTTTTTGGTGTTTCATTACATTGGGAAAAACATATGATTATCTTTTTACATTCTTTTATCTATAATTTTTCTCAGTGGATGATAGATTCATTGTAACATTCTGACCTAGGAAAGCCAAGTTAATTGACATTCTTCTGTTCGCATTCTTTGAGCCATAAGTTCTTCATATTTACTATGAATTGTCATGCCTTTTGGTTTTATCTCTTTTGTTCCACTTATCTATTTGAGGCTTTACTTTGTTCTTTTCTGCTGATTTCTGTAGCCACCAAATTTACTCATTGATGACCATGGTCACTTCTTCTAAAATCACAATCACCTCCTAATTGTTGTTGAGATGTGTTGTCTTCATCTTACAGATTTGCTTGCACTGATTAATTTTGTATTTATATTTCACTTCCTATATCCCTATGGTTCAATTGATCCATGTAGCCAATCCATACTAATGGGTAGAACTTTGTTATCGCCTGCTATCTTAAAATTCTACATCGCACTTGCCTTAGATCAAGTGATTTTTGTTATACAGGCCAGCTTTATTTCCCAGCACTTTGGATAGCCGGGCAAGTGCTCCAGTCAATAATGCCAACTTTTCAGCCCATCAACTCCAGTCCTCAGTCTCTCCATATGTTGGTTCTCAGAATCCTCAGCTTAGTTTTACTGAAGAACTTAACAGTCAAGGCTCAAAGAGAACTAGGTCCCCGCCTTCACCATCTGCCAACAGACAGCAGATTCTTAATGTTGCTCATAAAGACTTTAGAAGGTAATGGAATGGATTTTTTTCCCACCTGTCCCTGATGTAATTGCTATTTTCTTTTTTCTTTGGCGAAGTTTGTCTGTCAAAATTTGATGTATCTAAGTTTATGGAGTTATGTCAGCAATATTTTAATTTTCATTCTACCTAGCTGAATTAAATCTTAAAGAAGACTGACCTACTTGTAGTTTTCTAGGAAACAACTAACTAAATATGGACATCCAATTGCAATGATATGAACAATAAAATGATCTGCAACTAGAAGTAATTGTAAAATGCTCTAATAGGTGTAAGTATTTGGTTAAATTTTGGATTTCTTTCTGTGTGTATAGGTTTTAGAATCAGTAGTTTTTTAGAAAAAAGAGTGCTTTATGCTAGACGAGAGAATAGAAAGGGTTTACTGATTAAAAGCTGTTTAGAAATCTATACAAATGTGATCAACATCTTCAAAATAGCTGTGTATCTGTTTTCAATAAACTCTTAATTTGAAATACTTCATCAAAGTGACATGTGTCATATGGTTATCCCTAAGCTTATGTTTAAATGCTTTGGTTATGATGGAATGGAATGGTTTGTAATGGAACAGAGTGGAGTGTGAAGAGACAGATTGGAACTTTTTTTTAATTTTATTATTATATCTATAGTTTGGAAATTATTTAGAGTATTGATGTGGAAAAGCATACAACAAAAACAACCACCAAGCCTTGGTTCACTAGGTGATGTGGAAAAACATGGAATTAAAAGTTATAAATTTGAAATTGTAATATTGTCCAAATATAATATGTAAAGCTAAGGGAAAGGAAAAACAATAAAATCATCATTATTTATAAACATAATAACATGAAAGAATGGCTACTTTACATATACTGGAGGAACATGCATCCTCTATTTCCCTTCCCTCCTGTCCCCTCGTAAATCTATATTGCTAATGGTGGAATCACTTTACACCCTCTTCATTTCTTCACTTTCCACCTATCCCAATGAATAAAAATAGCAAATGAGGGAGAGAGAACTCTTGTTGTAGATAGGAACATTGTGGTTAAGTAACCTCGTAAACAGAGTAAAATGAGCGAAGTTTGTTCTAACATTTCAGTGGTATAAGGGAAATTTACTATTCGTTTGTACAGTGTATGAAAAGGATGGTTTACGTTTGCAATGATATATGTAGACAAGGAGGAAGCTATTATAAACTATCAATGTTTGTTGATCCTAGTGTTGGTGTTATGAAATATATGAATTAAGCTTGCAGGTGTGAGTATATGTTCTACTATAGCAATTATATATAATTTATAGAATGAAACTGGATATGGATTCATTAAGCCTGTTTTATGGTTCTTCTTCCAGGCCTTCTTTGTCTCCTCCTAGATTGGGAAGTGCATCAAACGTTCCAAGGACTGTCCCTCATTCTCAATTTCTCCAAAACCCTTTTCCATCTAATGTTCCTGAAGTCACTGTAAGCAAGTCTTTCAGCTCCACTGCTCCTAAAAGAGCAAGGTCACCTCCTCCATCATTTGCAGCCAATGAAACCCTTGAAGGAAACTCTATTTCATCAGAAGACAACTCTGAACGGTAACATTAGGTGCAATGGCACCATTTTTTGTTCATTATGCATGTTACTTTATCTTAAAGTAATTTTTTGATAAAATATCTATTCTTATTGTGTTGTTCAGTGAAATGTTAGCCAAGGCAAAGCGTTTAGCTCGCTTCAAGGTAGACCTAAGCAAATGTGAACAAAATAATGGTGATGTTGCAGACCAAAAGGCTTCTGCAAATAGACATGAACAGTCTGTGTTGGAGCAAAAATATGTGGGGGTACATTTAATGGATTCATCTAGCAACATTACCAATGGCCATGCTGTTACTGACAATGAAGGCTTGGACACATCCAATGTAATTATTGGCTTATGTCCAGATATGTGTCCTGGTATATTTCTCTATTTTAAATTTAAGAGTGAACCTGTGAGAATTGTTACATTTCCTTCTCAAGAAAGGTTTGGAATTCCTTATCTATTTTTAATGTGGAAAATGTAGTTTGAGAGAACTCCTATGCTAATGTCATTTTGATGTTTGAGTAAAAAAAAGTTCCACAACCTGAAAAGTTTAGCCCAAATTTCGACAGATTTCACCTAGATTCTGGGTGGTTGTTGGATGGGATAAAGTGGCAGGACCACTCATCCATCCAAGTGTTAATGAGCATGTTATCTCATTCCATCGAAAATTCTGGCATTTTCCTTTTATTTTTATTTATTTATTTTTTGATGCTGGGATCTGTCTACTTTATTGGGAGCATAAGCATGTGGTTTCATTTTCTTTTTGATTTAATTTGTGTTTCAGAGTCGGAAAGGGGAGAGCGTGAAAGAAAAGGAGATCTTGACCAATATGAACGCTTGGATGGGGATAGAAATGTAACCAGCAGACTTCTTGCAGTTAAGAAGGTGAGTGTTAATTACTATTGTTTTTCCTACCAAACATCTTATTACTTTTTCAAGTATTATTAATACGATTCATGACAGTATACTAGGACAGCAGAGAGGGAAGCCAGTTTGATCCGGCCCATGCCTATCCTGCAGAAGACAATTGATTATCTGCTAACTTTGCTAGATCAGCCTTATGATGAGAGGTTTCTTGGGGTATACAACTTCTTGTGGGACAGGATGAGAGCAATTCGGATGGACCTGAGAATGCAACACATTTTCAATCAAGGGTCTATTACCATGCTGGAAAAAATGGTGCTTCCTTGTGACCATATCATCAGTGTTTATTTTTGTACATGTTGATAACCAATGGTTCTTGTCATTGCTTTTATGAATGAGTGTGGATGGTAAAGAGCATAGGCTCAAAATCCTTGGGCACTCATTTACAGATTTACTGTTTCCCTATGCAAATATGTAACTCCCATTAGCAACCAAAAATATGGAAACATGTTACTTATTCTTTGTGTACTATCAAATTTTAGCAACCTGAATTTATCCCGTAAGGACTTTGCATGGATTGGAGTGATGGTCAATTGTCTCTTAATTTACTTTAAGCTGTCTGAACTCTGAATTACTCTTGATTTGTTGTGCGTAGCTGCCAACCCTTACATATTTTTGAAATTTGGGCATCTCGATCTTTTTCTTTTGAAAAATTTCCTTTCTAGTCATGTCTGGTGTTCTGACATTACTGCCATAAATAGTTATTGGTCACTGTAACATGCTTTTTCTTGCTCATTCCAGTTTGTTTGGCTAATCCCTATATAATATAGTAGTTGTAGAATCAAGATCATATGCCAAAATTAGCATTCATGCTTTTCTTGTAATAACATATAAAAACCAGATTATTACTCTTAAGTGGTAATATCAAGGTTTTCTTCCCCTCCTATTTCTTTCAAAGCTATATAGACTCAGACTGTCAATACCAAATATGTACATTTGGTGTTTATCAATTTCATATTTATTTACTGGTAGAATAATTTTTTGAAAGTTTAGAACCTGCATATGCTTGTTGCAAAGTAGTATCTGATGATTATGAAGACTAATGAAGCTGTTGATTTCTGTGGTCAGATAAAATTACATATCATTGCAATGCATGAATTATGTGAATACACTAAAGGGGAAGGATTTTCTGAGGGCTTTGATGCTCATCTCAACATTGAACAGATGAACAAAACTTCAGTTGAACTGTTCCAGATGTATGATGATCACAGAAAGAAAGGAATGAATGTTTCCACTGAAAAAGAGTTTCGGGGCTACTATGCTCTTCTTAAATTGGATAAGCACCCTGGTTATAAAGTAAGTAGCCTTTGCTGCACTTCAATTTTTATGGTTTCATTTGCTATAACATATCAAGGAACTAAGCTAGTTATGCTAGGTTGAACCTGCAGAGCTCTCCCTTGATATTGCTAGGATGACTCCAGAGATAAGGCAGACTCCAGAAGTTCTATTTGCTCGCAGTGTAGCAAGGTTGTAATTCCTGTAGAAGTTAGTTATCTTTTTGTTATCATGTCTGTGGTCTGACCATTCCTGTTTGCTTGCTTTGCAGAGCTTGCCGAACTGGTAATTTTATTGCCTTTTTTCGGCTTGCAAGGAAATCAACTTACCTTCAAGCATGTCTAATGCATGCTCACTTTGCAAAGGTATGGGATATTCCTGTCTTCGATTTTATACTATCTTTGGCTTTGTCCTTATAAAGCTTAGGGCTGCCATGTATAGACTGGTTATGCATTTACTCGATTCTGGCAGGCAATGTATGAAATTGTTTAAGTTTATGGGAGACCAACTAATGTAGTTTCTTCTCCTAAATGAACATGAGATATGTGCAGTTCCCAATCAATTACTTGATATATGAGAATACTTCCATGCTTAAAGACAAGATGTTTCTTGCTCAGTTTTGTATAAACATGCCTCATGGTGCATAACTTTCAGAAGGATAAGTAAAATTAGTTTGATTTAATGTGATCCATTTGAGTCTGCTTTACATCAGTGGAAAGAATTTGTGGAATTCACTTTAGTTATGATTTTGGTAGATTATGTGACTAAGCTACATCTGACTGGAAACCCTAACCTTTTATGTCTTCTGTTACTTTTACCAGTTGCGTACCCAGGCACTTGCTTCTCTACATTCGGGTCTACAGAATAATCAAGGTCTCCCCATTGCTCATGTTGCTGACTGGCTTGCTATGGAGGTATATTTCGTGGATAGCTGTGGATGTTTACTGTCTCATTTTTTCTTTTTTCTTGTGTGAGTGGGGGTGTGAATGTTGAGGGCACAGGACAGGGGATTGTGTTGCTGAATTTCCAACTTTGTCTTACATTGACCTTTGTCCTTTTAATTAGGATGAGGGCATAGAAGGTCTCTTGGAGTATCATGGGTTCTTGCTAAAAACATTTGAAGAACCATATATGGTGAAGGAAGGCCCATTTGTCAATGCTGATGTTGATTATCCCACCAAGTGTTCGAAACTTGTGCATAAGAAAAGGTCCGAAAGGATAATTGAGGATGTTTCACCCACAATTGAAGCTGAATCACTACATGTTGAGACTATGAAAGAGATTCAGATGAGGAATGCAATCAATGCATACAAGCAAGAACCACAAATAGTTTCAGCTGTTGAAAATGATAATTCTGTTCAGAAGGTTGATGAGGAAATTCCAGACTCTGAAACTTTTTTCTCCCCCAAGGATAGTAAATCAGGAAAGGCATTTGAGGAAATGCACACTGTTCAGGACAATGGAAAAGATCATGATATGTCCCCTTCACGTCCATCACTGCCAACCTTTCCTTTCCCTAATGTTATACCTGAGCCACAATTTACTAGAATTGACAATTTTAAGAGTACCGATTCCAGTTTGATTTCTAGTAGCTCTCCAAAGAGAAACTTGCAGTCTAATGTCGATGGAAGGCCATTAGAGATTGGACCAAATGCAGCTCCATTAGAAAGTTCATTTGGTAATAGTTTTTCTGTGCCACCTCCTGTGGTTCAGTGTGTAGCCAAGGATGAATCTCTGCTTATTCACCATGAACGTGAAGATGAAATTAATGAAGTTGGAGAAAATATTCAAGATGAAGAAATAGCTGAGGCGAAGCTGAAGTTGTTCTTCAGGTTCTTATTCTTAGTTTTGTTACAGAATTTTAGAATTTTACATATGAATTTTTTGTGTATGTACACTATTTAATACTATTTTTAAATCATTTTCCATGTCTTCCTGTCAGGTTATGGAAGAGACGAGTGTCAAAATTAAGGATGTTACGGGAAGAGAGGCAATTAGCATCAAATGCTGCACTAGATTCAATGCCAATGGGTCCCCCAATTCGACATTATATAGATGTAAGTTTGATAGGGTTTTTGTAAGTTTTTTAGTAAATTGCTGTTGCTAGGGTAAAGGTGATGAGGATGGGAGTAAAATAAAGATGACTGCTTCTAATGGTGCATCTTTTAAATATAAATGAGGGTTTTTGCCACTGAATAAAGATGTTGATTTGCCTTTTTAAATTCTTATGGAACATTCTAGCTAATGACTTCCCATTAACCCTGAAGATAGTTACTGAATTAGCAAAACCTATTTTTCATGATTAAATGTTTCCACTGTGTGAATCTAGTAATTTCATTTGTTGCATTAGGAAGTTGTTTTGTGAATTATTTATTATTGACTTTGGTGGTCCATTTTTGTGTAGCAACCTGGTAATGTCAATAAGTTTGACATCGATATAGTTATGAGGGAGAGATGTGAAAAGCAGGAAGAATCGTGGTCAAGACTTAATATTTCTGATGTAGTTGCTGGTACACTTGGCAGAAGAAACCCAGTTGCTAAATGCCTGTGCTGGAAAATCATTTTATGTTCTCAGATGAACAGTGGATATGAAATGGGGGCATCAGGCTTGTGGTTGACCTCAAAGATCATGCCTTCTAATGATGATGATGTGGTTATTTCATCTCCTGGCATGGTAATATGGAGGAAATGGATTTATAGTCAACCTGGCATTGATCCTACCTGCTGCCTCTCTGTAGTTAGGGATACAGCATTTGGTAGTCTAGATGAGGTGGTATCTGGGGCAGGTGCAATTTTGTTTCTTGTGTCTGCGAGCATCTCATGGCAACTTCAGAGAGCTAATCTTCATCATCTTCTAATCTCTATTCCCTCTGCGGCCTGCTTGCCTCTCCTGATCTTATGTGGTTCATATGATGAAAGGTTTTCTTCTGTTATAATTAATGAGCTGGGCCTTCAAGACATTGATAAATCACGGGTTAGCAGCTTTCTGCTTGTTTTCCTCAGTGAGAATAGGCAGATGGAACACTTGGGTGGGTTTTTCAGTGATACACGATTAAGGGAGGGGCTACAATGGCTGGCAGATGAATCACTCTCGCAACCCAACCTTGGCTGTGTGAAAATCAGAGATCTTGTTCACACCCATCTTAATTCCTTCTCGGGGGTGCAAGACCTTGTCAGTAACTCTAAGTTGGGTCCTAATGACTATATCACATTGTTCAATGAAGCCTTAGGTTGCTCAGTGAAAGAAATTATTGCTGCTGCCAATTCAAATCCTGCTGGTTGGCCGTGTCCAGAGATTGGTTTACTTGACAAGTCTTGTGATGAAGATAGAGTAGCAAAACAATACTTGCCAACTTTGGGATGGAGCTCAAATGTGAAAACTGAACCAATTATTTGTGCTTTGCAAAACTGTAAGCTCCCTACTTTTCCTGATGATTTATCCTGGCTGGCCAGAGGTTCTACTGTTGGACATGAGATAGAGAACCAGAGAATACAGCTTGAGAATTGCTTGATGCAGTACTTGACTCATACTAGTAAGATGATGGGAATTTCTTTGGCAACAAAAGAAGCACGTGTCACAATGCAAACCTGTGCTAGACTTGAGCTGTGTGGCTCAAGCTATCGTGTAGTTCCACATTGGGGTATGATTTTTCACCGAATTTTCAACTGGCGTTTAATGAGTTTATCAACTAGGGAAATCTCAATGGCTTATGTCTCAGAATGTCATCATGTTGCTTCTCCAAATGTGGGCTATGAAACATGGCTATCTTCATGTTATTATCCAGACGCATCTTTAGATGAAATAATCAGAGTTAGCTGCAACTCCCCTCTTCCCGTTAATGGTCGCCCAAGGCCAGAAGCACTCCAACGTTTTGCACAGAGGGATTCAAATGATGTGTTTCATGAGACTGCTAACCCAAGGGATTCTGAAAGCAATCTTCCACTTGATAAATTTCCTAACATAAGTACAGCTAGCACATATGGTTTGTATAATTCAAATAGGGGAGCATTAACGAATGGGATACCAATCAAAGAAGCTGACAAGTTAAGCAAGTTGTTGGAGCAGTGCAACTTACTGCAGGATGGTATAGACAAGAAGCTCTTTGTATATTTCTAATGGGCGTGTGACTTCTTTCTGTTTTGTATGTATCATCAAGAAAAGAAAAAGTGAAAAAAGTATGTCAATCAAATGCTAATTAATAGGAAATTTTGTACGATAAGTATATTATAACATCTATTCCTTTGTTATTTCGTTTCCTTGTCTCTCAGCTCACAAATATTGGGGACGGGTGAATGGTCGGTCAGAGCAACTCCTGTAACACTGTTGGACTTGGAAGAAACATGCCTTCCTGTATTATAATTGGTAATATATTTGAAATATTCAAATGAATGTGGAGTCTGATTAAGAGAATGAGGAAACTGACGACTGCATACCAATTTGACAACATAAGCAGTATTTGGCCAAAAAGTTTATTTGTAACGTTTCAGATTTCCACTAATGTTATTTTACATTTTCATGGAAAATAAATTTACAATAATTTTTTTATACGTACAGAAAAATGAAGCAGACAGAGGAAAAATGATAGTTTAGCACCAAAGTATCTCAGGCTTCTTTCTTATTGTTGCCAGCATTGTCGTCTTTCTTTGATAAAACCAACATTTATTGTTAAAAACTCTCCCATATTTTTCTATCGACGCAGAGCAGGGTGAGGACACATTATTTGGACTTACCTTGTTATTTTTTTAAAAGAAAATGTTAACCTCAACTAATAAAGTTACTAAAAGTGACAGGTTTTTATTGAAAAAAATATATTTATCATATTAAGATTTAAAAATGTGTAATAAATATTATATTTTTTGTAATTAAAAATACTAAATTTATATGCTTAAACTTAAAAATTAATAAAAATTACTTTTAAATTCACTCAACAAAGTTATTATTTTAGATAAATTTCACATGCTATGTAGAATGAAAGAGTATTTTATACATTTACACGTGAAATAATTATAATCGTTAATTTTATATTAATAGATAATAAATATAGTAATTTTTTAAAAAAAATATAAATATTTTTTAATTTTTAAGATATTAAAAGAATCACAATCTATGATTTAGAGAAAATATATATTGATCTCTTAAATCTTAAAGTATTGTAGTAATTACTATTATTTTAAATAATCTAAATCTAACATGTACTCAATTTGTCAAATCAACTTAAAAATAACTAAATGTTTGCTTTTACCTATTTCGTAAAAAAAAAAATCTTATCCATTCTTGCAATTAGTTATGTGAGAGGGGATATCTTTTCAGAACTAAGAAATTAAGTTATGGATGAAGAACACTGGCTCTACGCCGGAGCTTAGCTATTAGTTATGTGGGAGTAGTACTCATTCTACTATTATATATATATAAAATAATACCAACCCCATTCTCTGTTTTCCTTGCTTGAGTTGTTTAATTTTCTTGTTGATTTTACTGGTTTGCATAATTATTATTGTTATCATTATCATCAAACATTTTACAAATGCAAATTAGATAACATTTTCTTTCCGATCTAATTGTAAATCGCACGTGAAATGAGTTTATAATACCAATGTTTAAAAGTAAAATATATGAATACAGGAAAATATAAGATATTGCATTTAGCATTACAATCAAAAGAGACATTCTGAAAAATTTAATGTAAGTGCATCTCACTGCGAAGTTTATATGACGTCCGATTTTAGTAGTACATTTTCTTGTATACAAATGTATATAGATTATAAACTCACGAATGCCCATGACATGACAAGTTTTGAAATATGACATAAATTGATACATGTGCCTTCCAAACGTGAGCATTAAAAAAAGCAGGTGCGCATCTTTCACATCCTTCGGTTCATAAATTATTAACGTACCCCAAATAAAAATAATGTCGTATTCTGTTTTAGGAGAATGGTTGGTTAATATGTCGTGTGTTATTGCTCATCAAACAAATAGAATCGTTAAAAGGTGTGGACTCTCAATGCTGCGGTATGGTCCATGCCATGGGAACTGGGAAGTGGACCTTTAGAAGCAGTGGAATGGACTCTGAATCGTTATTGCATTGCATTTATTGAATTTTTAAAATGATTATTTTACGAAAACAATTTAACTTACTATATTTGACATAAGGGAATTACCCAAAAAGGAGGTAAACATTAATCAAGAGTTGCGGCTCCCCCTTTCTCATTGCCCTCTTTGGTGGTTGAATTGGTATTATTTTTTACAAGAGATACCAAAACGAACATGCCCTTTCCTTCCTTTTATACCATCCTTTTACCTTCACATGAATGCTTATATTCACCTAATATTTGGACTAAATTCCATTCTATTATCAACATTTAATTTCATAAAGGTTTATAACTAATTTACATTTCTACTGCCAACTACGACTTTCTGGATTCACACACAAAACACCCTCTTAAAATGAACAAAAGGTGAAGTGTGGTTAGGTGTCTTATACAAAGTTAATTTTAGGTGATTTTGATTGTAATTTGTTTTTTTAAAAAATCATATCAATTGCATAGTGAAAATGAGACAATTGCTTATACACAACCATTCATTCGTTTACCAATTTGCAGTATACAAAACATGAAACTAATCTTGAAATGCAATTAAAAAATCCAGATATGTTTCTAAACGATACACTGGATCCAGCATCAGCATGAGAATGAGAATAATGGATTTACATTCTAAATAGAACATGGGTTGCCTACCATTTGACTACAATTCTATTCAAATAGTAGTCAGGTTAGTCACCAACCAAACTCCTACACAACTCTCTTTTACTTAAGTTTCTTCCTTTACAACGTTTAAATATGGTAGAACAGAAGGAAAATGACCATTTACCATTTTTGCTTTCTACTCTACATTCTGAAAAAAGATGTTCAGCTGCCAAGAATGCACTTCAAACCAGAAACCTTCACCAGCCTAAAAATTTGAGTCAACATTTTCACTTAACGAATAATATAGTGGCATACAAGTAAATTTATGATGGTAATGTAGAAGACTCAAGAAGATAGAACATAGAAAAGTACCAGCTAGGAGAAAAGTACAAGGAGACTGGGTGAAGCTTCCATAAAGCCTCTCTCTCCAATCACTGTAAATTGATAAGAGGAAAATGAAAAGAAATTATTAGACATATCCTGATCAAATGATTAAGATGAACAATGCGAGCGAGACTGTACCAATTCAATTGGTCTTTGACATGCTGGAGAGGGGACCACTATGGCTGGACTTCTTGTTGAGACCACATGCTGCGGACAGGATTGTAAATCAGAGAAACCGTTCCTGACAGAACGATAAACATCTAACTCAGAAGTTACAGAGATCTCAGATGCTCCCTTTCCTCTCTTGCTCTTGGTCCTCGTTACAGTACTGGCATTGATTTCACCCGATCTTAGTCCAGATGTACCTGACTACAAAAAATCAAAGATTAGATAAAAATGTTATATGATGGGAAGGATTCAATGATTGAATCATCAAGAGTTTTTGGATTTATATATAATACTCATAAGGAAAAAAATGTATACAAGACACAAAAGTGACAATTTTGCGGTGTATTTTTGTAGTAGAAGTTGTAGTTTCTTGAGGCTGGTAAATTATATATCACCATACAGAAGTCACGAGTAACCAAAGAATGACTAAACTTCATCATTACCATCTGAAAGGGAATAGACTGAGATAACTTCACAAGGGGGGGGGGTTATGTCCACAGAACAGGTCATTTCTTACCACCATTAAACATTTTGGGGAATTTTTTTCGTAGGGGCAGGGGGTTGAGAATATTATGGGACATTACAAGCTTAAAATATTTACAAAGCCAAAGTGAAGAAAACATTTAAAAAAAATGAGGCTGAAAGAATACTCATGTAATCCATACATTAGACAGGCCTTTGATCTGAACAATGATAATGGTTATATCATCTGTTCGGCCCTCATGTTCCAACCATAGTTTATAAGACTCTCCAGCAATGGCAGCACATGCATCACGAGGATCTGAATAACTTGCTGCCTACATTATAAAAGAAATCATACAATTTATCAAGATAAGACATTGAATCATAGTTCTACCCACAGATTTAGTAGCCACGCTAGTGTTAACTATTCGAAATGTTAACTAATGAAGGGCAATTTTTACGTAAACAGTTCATGATACTTTGTGAATATATATTACAGTGGGCGGTAAACATTGAATATTTGTGCATACTAATGCAATAGATCAATCAAGCAGCAGAAAATTGAAGTTTCTCACTAAACAGCCTACACAAGTTGTGAAAACATGTAGTCTTCTGAACCAGTTAGAGATCAAGCTTACATAATAATGGCAGTCAATATATATGATAACCAATAGGCCTTAAAAAGGAAACACCAGATTATAAATTTATCTTAAAAAAGAATGGAACAATAAGGTCATGAGATTATGCTAACTCATTTCCTTCTCTCACAATTAAATACCATTAAAACAAACTGTTTTCATAAAATCCAATAACTGAAGCAAGACATGCATAATAAAATAAGAAGATAACTACGTGTAGTGAACCCAAACCCAACTAGTTGTTAGATAATATTAGAAAACTACAATTTGAGTTGCAAGACAAAATGTGGCAATGAATTAAGAACATTATTCCATGCAACAAATTGAAAACTTAAAAGTAAAAAACACATACCAGAACAGAAATTCTTTCCGGGTATTGCATCATAACTAAATGAAAAAGAACATAATATGCATCCAGATTTTCAACCAAGTTTTTTTAGTACAACTTGCAAGTTGCCAGCCAATGAAGCCATCAACAGAAAATATACAACTAAATTAAAATATTAAAAGGAGCAGTTTATAGGTCTTACAAGCAACACAGTTAGCAAAATTCAACCAATGAAAACATCATCAAAATAATTAATAAAGTTTAGATATATGAGGGAAAGAAAAGGAATTAGGAAGAACAAGGTTGCATATCATACCATATCAACAACAGTTTGGCTGGATAGGAACTCAAATACGCCATCACTTGCAACAACAAAGAAAAGATGATTAGGTGTAAGCTGAACCGTTGACACCTCCGGAACAGCAATGACACCAATAGTCTCAGCCAACTTATCCCCTACACTCCTTGTAAAAGCAGCCCCAGGAACCATCCCATTCTGAACCCACAACCTAGGAGGATCATCTCCCTGAGTTTCTTCATCGCCCCAAGTCTGAATATCCGGATCTTTATGCCCTTCCACCTGATCAACACTCAACACTCTTGCCCCACAAAGTTTCACTCTCTCATACTCGTCTCTCCTAAATGGTGTCTGATCAGAGGATAAGTCCTCGGCAACAACACGGTTCCCATCCTTAACAGCTAGCACAGCTCTAGAATCACCAGCATTAGCAACATAAAGGGTGTCTCCAATAACCAGCACCGTAATTGCAGTAGTGCCACTCATAGAATCATCAATCTCATTATTATGCAAGTCATCATTTGTTTTCAAGAACGCAGAAGTGTAGGCCTTAACAGGATCCTCCAACAATGCAGTGTCACTAGACAAATTTTCTACCAACCTATCCTTAACAAAGTTTGAACACTGGGAACCAAATTCGCCATGCCCATCATAAACGCCAAAGAAATGAACACTTGGATTACCTTGAAACTGTGTCCTAATGCAGAAACTATCTTGGTTTTCTTTATCAGGTGAGTCAGGGTAGTATCCTCTCTGAGTGAGGACAGAGTATTCCAAAGTGAAGTTATGGGAAGGAACAGGAACAAACTGAAGTGAAGTCTGAGTGAGAATGTGCTTCCTTTGGGCACAAAAAGGACCAAGTTCTCGATAGTCCCTTGAACCACCCACTGATGGTGGAGGGTAGCGAGTACAACACTTGCCATGGACACAACCCATGTTTGGAAAGAGAAGCAAAGTTGCTAGAAACAAGGCCTGAAGGAAAAAACACAAAGGAAAGATCAATGGTGGATGGGAACTATAAATTAGTTGCATCTGAAACTCCGCATTGTGGCTCCAAGGTTGAGAGTTTGAGAAACATGAACAAACAAACCCTAGTGATGATGAGGGGGAAATTTGGGATTTTGAGGTGGGAATCGTGACGAGAGGTTAAAAAAAACAAAAGGGTATTTGAATATTTAAGAATTATGGAGAAATGAATAAAAAATGAGAATGATTTGAAGAAGGCCACACAAAATGAAGGGGGCTGAGAAAAGGAGAACCCTAGAGGCAGAGGAACCCCACAAAGGTAGAGAACGTGTGTAGTGGGGCTATGGAAAGGGAAAGGAAGAATTGTACTTTTCGTTTGGATGCAAAGAGAGAGCATCGAAGGAAAACGCGGGTAGCAAGGAAGAGTCCAAACGGAAATTCACAGGAATGGGTTTGTGGTTTGTTCTCCCAAGAGAATGACAGTGACACACAGCACAGACACAGACACAGACACAGACACGAACACAAACACAAACACAGGCATTAAAGATTCTATAATTCTATTCTATGAGTGCATGGTTGGGTTTATCCATGGAGAAAGTCCTTGTTCCAAGGAAACACACCCCAATGACCCCAACAATGTATAACTCGTTTTCTGAGTGAGAAAGCCGTTGTTATTCCATCCCTCAAATTTTGTCAAATTAATTATTATTATTATTATTATTATTATAAGTGACACGTACTTATGTGAATAGATGGCAACATATTAATTTTAAGCGTTTTGAAATTTAATCTTTAGAAAATTTGTCGGCCTTTAAATTTATATAGGGCGTTTCATTTGAATGAAAATGCTCGTTTGAATTGGTTCACACACAAATTTCAATTTTTCGACTATAAATAAAATGGTTAGATGTTAGAATTTTTCTGTGCAGTTATTATGACCTCTTTTTCTTGTTTATGCTCTTTTGTTAGACTTGTGTTGGTCGTATTTAGTCTTATTATCTTTTTATTATTTTATTATGACTCTGTCCTTAAGATTTAGGAATGTTGCAATTGGGTTTTTTCGGGAACTCTTTCATGTTTTAAACGGTTATTATTGATTAACTTCACACATTTTTTAAAGAATTTATTATCACTCTAAAATATTTATTATTACTATTCTTTAAATAATTTTTATTAATTAATTAAATTACTAATAATATTTTTTAATTTTAAAAATATTTAAAAAATAAGTAGTAACAGACATTTTAAAATAACAATAGAAAGTAGAAACTGCACTTTTTTGTACCAAATTAGTGGACATAAACAAGTAATTTGACCATCTACTATATTCATTGTTACTGTGGGAGTTCAGCTAGAAATACTCAGGGCACAAACCCCTCAAATTACGAGTTAATTTCAGTGACGATAGGTTTTAATGTCTAATATGACGACCTGTTTTGAAGTGGTTGACTGCGGGTCTCCATTAAAGTTACTTAGTCCTGTAATGAGGTACACAGAGATGAACACAAATCTAGTTTTTCGGCCATAGATGAAAGCTAAGAAATCAAAACTCTCGTGTAGTGATCACAACTACTAATTGCCTACACCCTTTTATAGACGTGTGTTGGCTGTATTTGTTCTTGATTTTGTCCTTATTTTGTCATGATTTCTCCCTTATGATGAGGTCAAATTTAGGAATGCTGTTATCGCGATATTTGTCATGAAAACTTGGTTCAGTCATCAACTCGGTCAAGATATATATATTAAATTTGTATATTTTATACCTGAAATAGTTTTTAAAAAACTTATAGCACAGACTAATATATATAAGACAGAAAGAGAATTTTATAATTGTAATAGTGAAGGATAGCAAAGCAATTTATTATGAATTAAGAAAAAAAATTAGCAAGAAACCATAAAAAAGGAGATATATGATGGCAAGAGGCATATACAACAATACAATGCTACGACAACGACATTCACACGTAGCAACGCTATTGTGTAGCATAATAATACACTCTTTAACATTTTTAATAGTTATATAATTAAAAAAATTAACTACTGAAGACCTATTTGCTTTTGTGTAAGTTGTCTGACTTTTGATGAAGAATGCTATTTCCTCTTTTTGCACTGATCTTTCTTGATTTAGATTATTTGTTTTGGCGCATGTTCGGTTCTTTTCTTCCTTAAAAGTTTCGAATCTCATAAAAGAAATCTATCTCTACATTTATCCAACAATAAGGCCAAACTTAGAGATCATTAAAACTTGTGAGTATAAAACCATATTATGGCTCTCTTATAGAGTTTGGCAGAGCTCAGTTAATAACGAAGTGTATTTTTATCTTCTTATGTTATAAGATAGTGGTTTTGTTCCTAAATTATGAGTTTTATTTTTCTGGCACAGGATTTTTTAGGTACGGTGCCTAAATTAATTATGAGTTTAAACTAATGAAAACACGCTATGACAAAATAAATGAGAAAAAAATAATGATAAAAACACCAAATCTTTCGAGGCACGCTTTGTTTCAAACTCAAAATGAAACATTAACGTAGGAAAAGAGGTTAGATTATAATACAATTAGACCTTTAAAAGTAATTTTATTTTTCCAAGTTCAGTAAGGTGACGTTTAGAAAATCAAACTATTAACAATAATTTTATACTAAAAAGTTAAAACCTTGTTGCCATTGGGTCAATGTTTATTGAATTACAAACTTATAGATTAGTAGTGTGAAAAATATAGTGATTATATGTACCTTAATTTCAAACTTCAATAAAAAATAATGCCGGGAAAATATTCTTTTATGTATTTCATTCATGAAATAACGAAGGTTTGAAGCATTACTTACCCGAACTATAAACAAAAATTACTGCCGTATAAGGAAAAAAAAGGTTTGTTAACTTTGCTTTGCTTAATTTAAGAAATGAATAAAGCAAACAATGGATTTATATCGCATACAATCCAATAAAAAAAGTATTATTGTAAAATAGAATATGACAATTGAACTTAAAATTTTGATTTAGGAGCTTTTAAAAATATTCTCTCTATCATATAGTTTGTTTTAGAGGTCCTACCATATGGTTAATTAGTGTAAAGGACAATAGTTTATTTAGGGATGACAATGGGTAGGGTACTATAGTACCCATCCTCATATCTGCGTTTTAAAAAAATACTCATATTCGCATGAGTATGAACATTAATTCCTGTACCAGTACTCTCTAGGTACCTGCATACCCATATTGTACCCAATACCCACGTTTGTTTGAGAAAAATATATTTATAAAGAAAAATATGTTTATATAACTTTACATAAGTAGTATAATAATATAAAAATTTAATATATAGTTGCTGAATAAAGTACAAACATAGATAAAAAATAAATATTCAAATATCATAAAGGCTAAATGTATCTTAATATAATAATTTTCTAAACTAAAATTTTTAAAAACAATAAGCGAAACTAAACACACAAGTTATTTGTCTTGTGTGAGATTTAATCGATTGACAATGTCAGAGTGACAACGAAATAGATTTGTACAATGATTGTCTCTTCGTGTGGAATCACTTGACGACCTCTTGTGACGGCATTGAAAATGAGAATAAAGTTAGAGTAAAGAACTTCAATACTAACAACAGAAACTGGATACATAAAATATTTTTTTTAACTTTTGAATTTAAAATTATACGAAAAATAATAGATTTAATTAAAATAATAATATATATATATATATTTATATTAATACTAGTATTTTTAACTCATATACTATACAAAAGTATTTTATCGAAAATATAAATTTTTAAAAAATTATTTTAATGAATTAAATATTTATAATGTATATAAATTTTAAAAGAAAGAATTTGAATAAAAGATAAATTGTCACAAATAAAATTTTATAATAAATAAATATACGTGTATATTAAAAAAATTATACTTTTTTATCTAAAAAAATTAACAAATAAAAATTAAAAATAATTTTTTATATTTATATATTTTCAAAAACTTCTTTGAACGTGAATAAATAGTAAGAATAATATTATTTAAATTCAATAGATTATAGTTGTGCTTATAATACATATATTGCATAGAAAAATATTATTTTAAATTAAAATATAAAAAATAAAATTTAAATATTATTAATAAATAATAAGTTTACGCTAATAATAGGTGATTGTAAAATTTATAAAATATTTATAATATATTTATTATTTATCATTCACTTTATAATTTAAACGTCAATATGATTTTATTAACAAAAATATTTGTGTGAAAAATATTTTATGTGTGTCATATATAAATAATATTTTTAAAAAGTCAATCTCATATTAACTATGTAATAATTAAATTGTATTAGTCTAATTAAATAATATAAAATAGTAAATAAAATTTTCTATTAAAAATATAAACTAAAATAAATTTTTTAGTTTACTTTATTATTAAATATATTTTTATATTAATCTTATATAACTTCATATAAGTAATATATTAATATAAAAATTTAATGCATAATTATAAAATAAAGTTAAAGCATATATATATATATATGGATATGGGACATGGTGTGTACTTAGATACCTGTACCTGTATCAATCTCCATTAATATTTACAGATTTTTACCTATACACATACTCGTATTGTCATCCCTAAGTCTATATCAATTATCTCGTGAAAATATATACCCACATAAAAATTATAAAATTTAGGATTTTATATATCTATTAAAAAACCTGATTTAAAAAAGTGCTGGCTGTGGGGTTCGAACCCACGCGCACTTGTGTGCAGAAGATCTTAAGTCTTCCCCCTTAACCTCTCGGGCAAACCAGCTCCATGTTCAGAGGTTTCCTATATCTGCTTTGCATACTTCTTAGATATCAACTTTTCCCCCCCTGATCTGGACTTGTTAAAGATGAATATATCTAAATGAAAAAAATTGTGAAAAGTCTCTTAGATTTTCCAGCAAAATATATGATAGATATCATCCACTCTGATCTGCCAGCTCTCAAAAATAGTTTATTTTATGATAAAATATTGAAAATAAATTTAATTGAATGATTGATTGTCCATCCTTATATATTCTTATGTTTGATTAGTTAATATTGTTGATTAAACTTTTAATTATTCTGGAAATTTTTTTACCACTATTTTTAGAAGATTTTACTTTAGTTATTATCATCAATGCTATTTACTTATTATCAATGACGGACTAAAAAATTTTAGACAATAAAAACAAGACAATATCTCTTACTTTATATGAAAAAAATTGAATAGTGAAATAAAGTTAAAGACGATGAAACTTAAATAATAACTTAAATACTATAATAATATTAAAAATAAATAAATTGAGTAGAAGCACGGGCTTCATATCACCCTTTATAGGTTGTCTCATGCTTGTGGTAGTTTTAGCGATGGGATAAAGTATTTTGGAATTTTATTGCTTTGTATCTTTATGACTATTAGTATAAAATCAATTAAAGTAAAGAAATAGTTATTATCGTTTAAAATATATATTTTAAATTTCGTGTTAAGTATATCTCGATCATCTATTTTAAATTAAAAATTGATTATTATAAGCAAGTAAGATCTTAATCAAAGAATGATGTCTCGTCATGTTCAGTTGTTTAGTGTGAAATTTAAATTACATGTGTTTCCTTTGCATGTCTCCATTCTT